TATTAATAGTAGTGATACGGTACATTATACCATTGGTAATAGTTTTGAATACAATTACCGTACTAAAAATGTATGGTACGGTACAAATACTGTACCATTACCAATGGTACAAATTTTTTGACACAACTTTGGTAGGGTAATTTGGTTAAAAATTTCACCCCTACTTTTAAGTGGGTTTATTTAGCAACAAAATTGAAAAACCGGAAAAGCTCCCATGCTCCAGCAATTACATCACCATTACATTCTATCTTCACGTGATTACTGTGAATCTGCAGATGCAATGACTTGCAAAAACTACAACTACAATTATGTTTCAAACATGCAATATTTGTAACGATGAGTCAAACTCGGAACCTTACGTGCTCGGGCGCTCAAATACGAGTGGACGTGAATACTTTTAATCAAGTGAGTTATCCGCACTCGCACGAGGAACGGAGCGAGAAAAACATCAAAACTCAGAGTATAAGATGCAAATGCAAATCCCAGAAATTAATCACTGATTACTGGAAACCCAAACACTAAAAAACAGAAAACTATAATCACGAGAAATAATGAGTAATTAGTGATCTTTAACCACCACGTTAATCAAAAGGGCAAAAGAGTCGGTTGAAAAAGACGAACCTGGAAAGCAGAAGACGCAGTTCCGAAGACAAAACCTTTGGGAAAGCTACCCCTGTTGATATCCAAATCCGACAAACATGTTGGAAACCCAACAGCCAATAGAAATGCTGTGACGACCAAAGCTAGGCCTCCTCTTTCCGACCCCATCACTTCTCAACGGCGGCGGCGCGGCGGCGGAGATATTAAGAAGGAGATTGGCTTCTAATCCCTGCTTAATTAGAGAGAGATTAACGAAAACTACAGGGGAGGAATTTGTAGAAATGGGTGAGGGAATAAGGGAAGAGCGTTTATAGTGGTGAGTATATTTGCAGTGAGAGACAGACAACGTGAAAAATGGGTGGTTGAGTTCGATAAGGCATTAAAAACGTAGTGCAGTGGGTGGTGGTCACCACCAAAAGTGGCGGCGCGCTACCCCAGAGAGAGAGAGACAGAGTGGTGTTATTGGACAGTGGGGAATGAAAAACCAAACTCCTGAGTTCACACGTTTTCATACCAGAATGATGAGCATGGTGGATGCATATATATATTCATATCATAAATGTATTTGTGTATCCAGTCCATGAGGATTCAGATTTCAAATTGCAAATTGATTCATTTTACATTGCCCTTGCCTTTATCTATAATCCTGGACTGTAGTGGATTGTTTTACAGCCATTCCTTTGTTTGTTTTTGGAATATATAGTGTGCCTTATAGTCCAGCTTGGCATTCCTTGTAGGAAACGTACCACATTATCCGGAAATAATTTTAAAATGATTGAAAAAGTTTATTTTTTTTTAACAAGCGATATTATATATACTAAGCAGGAGGAGGTGGGCTTAGCCTCACAATAGGCTAACAATAATGTAGTTTAAATTGCATTTGACAAGAATCGAACCTTAGACCTATCACTTACAAGTGAAGAATAATACTACTAGACCGTAGTACTAAGTAGCGATCAAAAGTGTTTTTAGAAAAAATGTTTCTGTGTTTTAAAAACACATGAAGTGCTACCTATAAAAAACATCAGTTATGTTTGCACATGCCATGTGTTTTTCACACACGAGGTCACAAGTGATGTATATATGTCCTATCAGTTACTGATATACTATATTCAAATGTAATGTAATATAAATTGTGTTCTATCTAACATTATTACGATATAAATAATAACATAACTAGTCATTTCGTAACATCCCACATCGTTCAGGGGGGTGATCTTTATATGTATATTCTCATCCCTATCTAGCACGAGGCTTTTTGGGAGCTCACTGGTTTCGGGTTCCATCGGAACTTCGAAGTTAAGCGAGTAGCGAACGAGAGCACTCTCAGGATGGGTGACCCATTGGGAAGTTCTCGTGTGAGTTCCTAGAAATAAAACCGTGAGGGCGTGGTCGAGGCCCAAAACGGACAATATCGTGCTACGGTGGTGGAGTGGGTCCGGGAAGTGGTCCCCCCCGGGCCGGGATGTGACATTTCAGTAAGTATGGTGCAAAATTAATAATTAATTTATGGCATTTAGTTAAAATGATCAGTGAGATTGTTATATACTTCCTCATTTTGGTTCTCGAGATTTGAAATTAATAGGAATGATCTTTGAGTTTGCCACCATCAATCATTTGGTCATTCTATGAAAATTGTGTTAAACAAGGGCTAAAATGATAAAATTACTCTTAATTTAATAAACAATGGTCCAAAATAATTTGGCAAAAAGTGAGAGTATTTTTGTCTTATCCTTATTTAATGGAGATTTTTTACGGAATGACCAAAATGATTGATGGTGGATAAACTCATGGACCACTTTTATTGATTTCAAATCTTAATGATCAAAGTGAAGAGTTTATGTTAATTTTAAAGACCATTTTAACTTAAAAACCTTAATTTTTTGTCACTATTATTCACTCCATACAAAAATATGAAGGGTGTAGCGATGGTAAGTCCTTTTTTTAAGTTTTTAACTGAACAAGCAAACAAAATTGGAATATTGTTTGCGTGACGTACGATAAACTGACTAATCTGTTTTATTCATGGCAAGATGCAATTTCTTTACGGTTAAAGGATGTGTGCCCATGGAAATGTTGTAAACTTGTTATACCCTTTTATGGCCTTTACCTAACCGATATGCGGCCACACCGACATATGATGGCATTGATTTATAATGTTTAATGTTGTGACTGTTTTTGTTGGACAACAATAAGGTCATTGCTGATTTATGACACGAAATGTTAGTCGGTTAAAAAGTAATGCGTGCAAAAAATAAGAATAGTAGAAATGATAAAGCTTCGTTGAATATGTGGACGCACGAAAAATGATAGAATTAAGAATGAAAACATCCGAGGTAAAGTAGAAGTGGCCGTAGTTAAAAATAAGATGAGAGAAAATCGGTTAAGATGATTTAGTTAAAAGCTGCGACTATGAGACGGAGGCTCAAGACAAACGGGATAGAGGAAAACCTAATAAAACTTTAAAAGAGACTATAATAAAAGTTATGAAATACTTGAAAGTAATGGAAAACTTTACGTAAAATCGAGTACAATAAAATTCTAAGATTTATATAGCTGACCTTACTTAATAAAATAACGCTTGATTGTTTTTTGTTGTTGTAGTATTGTGGCTGCTTTTGATTAATCTTTATTAGCCAGCTATGACATGCATATTTAACTCCGCATATTGGATACCTTTGGTATTTCGGTCTAAAATGGGTTTAATCGTCGCCAACCAATGACAAACCATATCTCACATCATTTGGATATAAAATAGGTGAGAAATATATGTAAACAATTGGAATGTGCTTTTAAGTTTGTTCGAATTCCTGCTCCCTCAGTATCGTTTGTATATATATAAATGAAAACAATACTCTTCCATAAATTATGGACTATAATCTAAGGAAGATCGTTGTTTGTATACAATTAAACAAGTATTGAATAATTTGATTAGAAACTATCATGTAATTTGTTCCTTAATTAGGAAATTGGTTGGTCAAGTGTGTTCCTTAATTAGGAATTAATGAGCTCTTTTGAAGGTGCTTTTAAAATGACGTTTTTAGTGAAAATATTTTTGAAACCAATCATTAGTAAAAATACAAGTAAATTCTCAAAAAAAATACGTAAAGCACTGATTATAAGAAGCACTTCAAACGTTTTTAGAACAAAAAAATATTTTCTCTCAAAGTATTTTCAGTAATTTTAAAAGCATTTCAAAACGAGTCTAAAGTTAATTCAGAATGATGAATTCATGCATCCAAAAGTGATTCGAACTTCGAAACAATGCAATCTGTTTTAACCACATGAGCAAGTAAATTAATTTAAGGGAATTTTAACGAAAAGCTATCGGTACTATTTACTTGAACGAAAAACCATATGTTTACACTAAAAAGTCAATCCTGATACTATTTACTTTATCATTTATTTTGTCTTTATCGTTAAAACCCAAAATTTTCAAGCTATTTTTATTAGTTTTCCTTTAATTTCGTGAACAAAAATAGTAGTTTAGTTTGGCTTTAAGTTTATGCAAATCTATAGACTATAATGTTCTTGTTCGCCACCCCAACTGTTGAACCAATGCAAAGACCTCACCATCTCCAGTCTCTCCATTTGATTTCCGAACAAGCATTGTCCTCCTCATCCTCATAGTCCGGCGGAGCAACTCCACCCATCAAGTAATTATCTGAACCAAACAGGGACCATAATGTAAATCTAATGCTACATTATTTTCGCATACGTGGACTCTCATTCGGTTTCAAATATCTCATCCCTATTTAGATTAGTTTAAAGTATAATATTACATTGTGTGTGAGTTTATTTGGTTTTACTCATTAAACCAATTAGCCCATACACCTAGGGAGACTGGTTCAATGAAATCAACTTGAAGAAGAATTTCTCAAAAAAAAAAAAAAAAAAAAACTTTAATCTTATAATTACATTCAACATATGGTGATACTGTAGAAATGTATGCTTATTTCTAAAATAGAATAAAATACTGGCATATCATTAATACCTTTCTCGACTTTTTGGTTGAGGTCAAGTATAGTATTTGTTCAAATTAATATTTGATACGTGAGTTAATGATTAAAAAAATAATATTGGAGAATATTTAGGCTAAACTGCATTATACGCCATGTATTATTGAACTTATCACGGTAAGTCGAACTGGACCTCACATTTATATAAGAATATTACTAGACTGTCGTTTCAGTGACTTTTTGTTTATAATTTTTTTAATTTGAGAGCTTCATTTGTACCTATTTTTCATGTTTTATTTTTTTAATTTTGGTTAAGAGGTGGGCTGAAGCCCAACAAGAAAACCCATAGAAGATGAAAATGGAGAACCTCTACTCATGAAGGCCCAAACTATGACCATGACCGATGGGCCCAGTGGGTCAGCATAATTCAAGTTCAAACTGAGGTGGATCCTAAACCTGTGAATTTCCCGGGATTGGAAAGGAAATGGAAGACGATGAAGAAGCTCCACCTCTCGCCATTGAAATCGACCAACCCCTGGGACCCTACTCTCAGCAGCAACCCAATTCATCTAGTCACAAAGACGACGACGTGTTGGTCGGCGTCACCGTCATCACCGGCTACCTCGGCGCCGGAAAATCCACCGTAAGCTCACTTCTTTTTTTGCTATATTTTTCCATTTTTCGGGAAAATATTAGAGCTTTGAGTGTGTTTTTGTTGGTTTTTGAATTGGGTTAATCAGCTGGTTAATCATATATTGAATTCCCAACGCGGGAAGAAAATTGCTGTGATACTAAACGAGTTCGGTGAGGAAATTGGCGTGGAGAGAGCGATGATTAACGAAGGAGATGGCGGTGCGCTTGTCGAAGAGTGGGTGGAGTTAGAAAAAGGGGGTATTTGTTGCACTGTTAAGCACAGTTTGGTGCAGGCATTGGAGCAACTTGTTCCCAAAAGAAAGTTTTTGTAAAACTATATTGAAATTTGTATGTTTCATTGAAATTTATTATTTTTGATTGTGATTATGATGAAATTTGAGACGTGGGTTTTTGGTTTTCTTTGGTTGTAGACTTGATCGTATATTGCTGGAGACTACTGGGTTAGCGAACCCCGTTCTACTTGCTTCGGTTCTGTGGTTGGATGATAATCTAGTATCATCTGTCATGCTTGATTCAATTATCACGGTGAGTTCTGATTCGTTTATCTAGTTTGTTGCTGAGTTTTGTGTTAGTTTTAATATCGGATGCGTTACATGCCAGTGTTGTATTAAAGTTCTAGCAATTTTGTTATGGGATTTTGAGTTATAATATTATGTGTTGGAGTACCATTTGAAGTTTGGAACTTGTCTTGCTAAATGCTTACTTAGCTGCACTAAGTGTAGATGCATATGGTATGTTAGTTAGGTTCTGTCGGTTCCACTGTTTTCTGTGTTTTAAACACTAGCTGAACTTGTTAAGTTCTTTTTCCAGAGAAGCTATGTGATTTATATTTACTATGTTGGTAGCAAAGGTTTATTCATCGATTTCTGTAACATGTCGTGGATGCCAAGAACCTCCGTTTTCAGCTCAGTGAGCATCAAATCTCGTCTTCATTTCCTGAAGCATATCTTCAGATTGCGTTTGCAGTATGGTCTCCTTATGACTTATTTTGGATGCAAAATGAAGACGAATGTATAATAGGATAGCTTTATCAGACTTGGTTTTTTGTTACTGGTAGTTTTACTCATATCTGTTCTATTCTAGTGCTCTCTCTCTCTCTCTCTCTCTCTCTCTCTCTCTCTCTCTCTCTCTCTCTCTCTCTCTCTCGGGTTTCAACTTTGTATTATTATGCTGGATTGTATTGTGCTTGCTCTTCATATCTTACGAGTTTGGCTTTTTGTTGTAGGATGTTAATATTATTAACAAGGTTGATTTGGTTTCTCCAGAGGGTTCTGCGGATTTTCTGGAGGAACTGGAGAAGGAAATACATAGTATTAACTCACTCGCTAGTATCATCCGTTCTGTCCGTGGTCAAGTTGACCTGTCCAATATATTGGACTGTCGGGCCTATGATGCCACGGTGAGTCATGCGCATCTTCATTTTTTTGTTTGCTTATATTTGTAGTTCATACCGGTCTTCTAATAATATTCAAATTTTACTCAAAAAAAACAATTTAAAACCTTTTCTTTCTCAGCATGCTACCCAGTTAGCATCATTATTGGAAGAAAGTCGCACTCTTTCTACAAGTGATCTTCATGATAGTGGTGTCCGAACTTTATGCATTTCCAAGCCACGGCAGGTTGATCTTGAAAAGGTATTCTTGTGAAATAGTTATGATATGAGTTGTTTGAAATCAAATACTGTTTACTATTTAGTGCTGTGTTAACAACTTTCAGAAAGGTTAGCATTCATCATTACATTGTTGTTAGTTTGATTATTTTATTCATCTGTGAAAATTGATTGGACAATGAAGTTCTGGCAACTAACATCAATTGTTTATAAACTAAGGTTATATAGTAGGTAGAGAAAAGCAACAGTAATGAATTATTTACAATTTCTGCGGCTAAAACTGTGGTGTCAAAGATGGTGGATGCTTATTTCTCGTTGCTGCAGTTTTTCGAAAATCAACGGTAATCATATGTATCAGTCATTAATATCTGATGGTACTGTTCGATACCGTTTGTGGATTGAGGAGATTCTTTGGGAGAAGAAACATGACATGGATGTATACCGCTGCAAAGGGATTCTGAGCGTTCATAATTCATATCAATTACACACTTTGCAGGTACTGTTCGATATCAAATTATGCTACTGCTTATCTTGAAAAGTTGAGTCTTATGCTGCAAATACATACTTTGCAGGTTGATCCTGTACTTATATGGTATATTGTGTGCTATTACTGGGTCTTGTTATTTACGCAACCTTTTTTCATTGATAATGGCAGGGAGTCAGCTTTTGTTCTTCTCCACATTCTTGCCGGGTGATCCAGGAATTTGCCTATTTGCATTTCAGTGGGCTTGAACGAATCCGACGAAGAATCCCTTGCTTGATAGGGCTTGAGGTTAGAAATCCAAGATGAAATCTCTATGCTTCAGATGCGGAAGCGAGAAATGGAAGAGGGTTTAGGCTTTGCGGTTTACAGGTCATAATCTAAATGAGAATGTTCTCGCCGAGTATTTTAGATCGTGCGTAGTTTGTTGATTTGGTCACAATATTTTGTTAATTTTGAATACTTTCAATTATATACGGATTCATTATGCTACATTGAACTCTCGATGTTGTTTTGGTTGAATACTTTAAATCAGAATTGTAAACTCTTTCGACGTGTTATAACATGATGATGAGTGCAGATCGGTCACAAAACCTGTTGTTTGTCTATTCTTGCAATTATACAAATTCATTTTAGCTAGAATTCTGAACTCTCTCGACCGGTTGATTTGTAATATCATGTGAGTTGCGACACTAAAAAACTTCTCGATGAAACTTTTCTCTTGTGTCAAGTCAAATATTAGGCCAAAAATAATGTATGCATATTGTTCTGCTATATCTATATAACACTAGAAGAAGAAAAAACGAAGAAAAAAAACATCAAAACAAAGGAGCTGCATTTGCTATTTCAATGAAGGAGCTGTTTCTGCCATATCATTTTGGTTCTACGTCTTTAACAGTGCCGGCAGACGCATATTTCAAAAGAAGCTCGAGAGATTCCTTTCTATAGTCGATAACGGGCTGATTCGAAACCTCCTCGTTTATAATTCGGCATACCACGTACCTCTCAATCTGAAACAAAGGGAACAAAAAATGTCACTTACCAAACAATTTGGACAAAATTCACAACCTAAAACAAAAGCATATCATAAGAACTTTTATACGTAGTTTGCAGTCCGTACCTTATTCCTAATGCTGTCATTCAGCACATGAGCAGGTACTACACGAGGATTGAGCCTGTATTCGTTCATGACAAAGGGAGTTTTGGTCCCGTTTGGCGCCTTCCCCTCGTAGAAGTTCATGACGGCTTCAAACCCTACGATTACTTCACTATCCTTGAACAAAACCTCATATTCGTCATCGATCACCTTCCAGTAACCACCGTTTGCAGCCGTCTTAATTATCTTCCCTTCACTAGCGTCAAAGGGTTCTCTGTTGGCGAAGTAATAGGCCGCATTGCAACCAGCATTGTGTTTGAAGTCACCTGCGAGTCACAGAACGATAAGCAATTAGTTTTGAACGTAAAACAGGGACCGAACTCAATAGTAGTACAAAATAACAATCAAATCGGAAACTCACCATTCGGCAGCTGATGGGGATCATACTCGTACACATCAACCTCTTTTATAAGACCGTAGGTAGGCATTGCGCGGTCCATAATCTTGTTAAACAGAAAGTACACAACGATCTCATCTTCGGTGGGATTAAATCGATACCCTAACGGTAACCTGACCTCCGCTTCCTTCTTCCCCTCTTGGACGGTCGAACACTTCAACAGATCAAACCCCTCGTACTTGTCAGCGGACTGTGAGGAAGCTGAAGATGACTGCGAGGAAGCTGAGGATGCCATGGAGGAAGACAAGGACAATGACGCAGTTGATATTTTCTGTCACGGTTTGAGTTTTGAGCTCTCTGAGTTGTGGGATAAACCTTTGTTTTTCTGAAACCTATACATACATATATGCATGTATATATAGAGAAGCAAAAGCAATCAAAATAGGAATACCTAATGAATTCCAGCGCGAGTATCCCTTTTTTTTTTCTGGATTTAATTACCCTATTTATAGATTTTGGTTTGAATTAGACGTAAAACAATTTGATTCCTATTCTAGATCTACTTAATAATCGAATCCCATGGTACTTAGTAGATCTAGATTCCTATTTAATAGTCGCATAATTTGAATTAGACGTAAAACAATTTGATTCCTATTCTAGATCACATGGCCGTCCAACCACGCACAAAATCTAAGCCCCTGTATGTGTTACCATCCGCCGTCCGGTCTCACTTTCTTATATTTAGGGTCCTATACAGGATAGAAAATCTTCTTTAGAAGAACTAAAATTGAACCAGGAGTCGGATGAGATCAAAATACACTGGTTTCACTCCTCTTGTGTGGGGTGACCGTCCAGACACAAAATCCCTCTTTCCACACCTTCTGTCAGTTTTCTCACACCAAATTCAAAAAGCGTGAAGTCGAACGAGACCAAAATAAGCAATCAAACCAAATATTTATGCTAGATGACTCAAATTGGAATATCCTATCCGTATAATAAAGTAATTTAAAATATGGTACTGTGAAATGTTATCCCATGACATAATCAAAGCTCCTAGATTGACAAGGAAGGAGAGTGCGAGAATTGAATTTAAAAAAAAAGTTGAAAAGCCAAAGGTGGATGAAAAACTTACCGGGATTTCGTACCAGTCGGAGCCGAAAACCAGAGACAGAAGGAGAGGTGGGGAATTAGATTGTGAGTGGCGGAAGGACGGGGAAACTGCGCGTCTAGGGTTTATATAGCGGTAGGATTTTGAAAGAAGACGACGGAATTTCTTCGCTTTTATAACGTCTTTCCACGAGATACGTGAGACGAAATGAACTGTTACAATTACTTCTCCCACCGTCCCACGCAAACATTGTGTGCGAGTAAACGGAGACTTGCGGCTGTACCGAATCAAAATTCAAAAAATAAACCGACGCCGATTCACATTCGCACCGGTCCGGGTGGGGTGGGGTCTGTGTTGGTGAAAATAAAGAAAAGTAATGAAAATGATTTGAAAACTTTGAATTTTAACGAAAATAACAAAATAAATGGTAAAGTAAATATTATCAGAATTGACTTTTTAATATAAAAATATAATTTTTCTTTAAGATGAACAGTACAATGAATTTTTCGTTAAAGTTGCCGTGAAAATACGGCACAACCGAATAATTTGTTTGAATTGACCCAAAAAGTGAGTAATTTTGTTTGAAATGTTAAATACATCGGAGCGACGTCGTTTGACCTTTTCCCGAATCCCTTCTTCCTCTGGCGTTGCAGTGCGACTTCACACTGTCTCCAATTTCAAACCGAACTATGTGAGTCGTTCGACTCATTCCAGTTCCATCTGAAATTGTCGTCTTCTTCTCGTCGAACAGGTACTTTTCAAGCCCCGTATTTCTCGCTTTCTTCCATTGTTGTGCTTATGCATGAATGCTTTGTTAATTAATTGCTTCTTAATCTCGTTTTATTTGAGTTAATTTTGTCGATTCTTCAGTTTGTAGGGATTTTAATTGTTGTTTTCGTATTAATTTCCGTATAGAGTTCTTGTCTAATCGTTAATTAAGGTTTTCAGTCTGGAAAGTGGAGAGTTGCTTCTGAATTTCGAGAAGTTGGGATTTCTTTTGTGTACTTAGGCGTAGGTATATTCTTCTGCAAATGGCATTGGTTGTGATTTGTGGACAACCATGCAGCGGGAAGTCAAAGGCTGCGCTCTGCCTGGTTGAGGCTCTCAAAGAATCGGGATCAAATCAAATCATTAGGGTTATTGCTCTGTCCAAATTCAATCGGCAGCAAATAAATCAAACAAGAAATTAAAAAAAAAAAAAAGAATCGTTGGATTGAACTCATTATTCGGGATTCATGGCTGGGACTTAGAACGAGTCGCGTGAAATTGGGTAGAAATTCTAATCCCGGTGAGCAGTTGCCGCTATGCGTGATATCTTCGCCGGAGAGACGCAGAGAGAAGGGAAGTGGAAGAGGAAGACGAAGATTGGGGAAGAAGGAGAAACCGAGGAGGGAGGGAATGAAAGCAGAGAAGAGGAGAGATAATGATGGTGGAATGAGGGAAAAAGATCAAATGGGGGGAAAAGGGGAAGAGAGATAGAAAGAAGAGAGAGAGAGAGAGAGAGGAAGAACTTGTCAAATGAGGAGAAAAAGAAAAGGGTGATGGGGATGTTTGATAAATTGAGTGAGGAAAAAATATTAATATTTTATTATCAATTGTCAGAGTTATTTGTGTAGGGGTGGAGATGAAAAAAATAATTATTGTTCATTAAAGGTAGTTACTGTTTACTAGATGAATTAAATAGTGAATAATCCTAAAAAGTTTTAGACACAGTGGAACTGCTCTTAGTGCAAAACTTTGGGCTTAAAATATAAAAAACCAAAAACCGTGGGCTTAACCCACTACGATTGCCACAGCCAATATTCCACCTGCACCACTCTGGATCTGCAGATTTGCCAAAAAAATATAATATATTTCTTAACTGGCGTGGATTATCTACCTTTTCATTTTTATACTCTTCTCATGTCCTTCTGTTTGTGTTGTAACTGTTAAGTCACGTTAACATTTTATATTCATATTACTTTTTGTTTTATTATTTCTATAAAAAATTAATATAAGATGTTGACGTGGCTTAACTGTGATCACACATCACAAGAGGGCATGGGGAGAGTATGGAAATGGGAGGGTAGACAATCCACCTCCTTCTTAACTAGAAAGACTCCAAATTCCAATAGGATCCTCTTCGGATTCTCTTGGTGAGGATTTTGAATATATTGTAAATCGTGTCCATTCATTGTATATTATGTGGTTAGTTTTTGTCAAGCACTGTTTGTATTTAATTTTAAATAAAAATATTTAAAAATATTTCTAATCACGTGATGTATGATGAACAAATACAATTCACATATCACGAATATCCTCACAAAGAGTATCTGACGAGGATCTGGATTCCTCCAAATTCGCAAAAGCAGCTCTGACTCATATCTTTATTTTATTAAGTAAAATGATGGTAACCAATAAAGTTGGTTAACAGCTAACACCTACGCAATTCCTTATTTTATTTTAGTTTTGGAAAAAAAAACCCGGTTAAGCTCACGGGATGACCAGTGATTGAGATAAATTACATATATATTTTATGCGACACTTCTTGAGTATGATTTTTTTGTAAAGATAGACACCAACCTGTCCCTTTTTAAAAAAGAATTATAAACCCGGTGGTGCCAAAATACTTTTTATTAACAACATGTTGAAATTTTATATAAACCTCATGTGCTTTTCCTAGTGATTCTTTGAAAAAAAATGTTTCATTGACCCATAAGCGGTTGAACATTGTTACATTTTTCTACCAACCATAATAAAATACGCTTTTAGTACTCGAAGTATTTTTACTTTTTCTAGATACAATCTCAAATATGGCCCAAATAAATTTCCAAACGAAGTCCTAAAGTATATTTACTTTTTCTAGAAGGGGAACAACAGTTGGCAAGTTACGATTTTCTACTCCTTTGAAGTTCGGAAAAACTATAAGAAATTTCACCCTACACGTAACTAGAGTCAAGTAGACTCACCAACTGGGAGCATTGAACCTGACATCTCATAATTTTTTATTTATTGAGGAGTCGCAATCTGTGTCCTTATCATTGGGCCACTTACTATGGTTTAGTAAGTGATATTTTACAATAAAGGCTTCTTAAATTCATTATCACTATAAATTTTTCTATCAAACATAACCGAAACGCTTAACACAACCACAATCAATCCCATATGGTCGAGGGATGAGATTCTTTTGGTTTGGCCATATGGGGTTGGTTGGTTCCAAAACCCCACCGTTTTCCATTTTTGCACTGCACCAAATAGATGTGACGTGTAATTTTCTTTTCCCTCCACCGGGAATGAAAAGGAAAGGGAAGAAAAAGAACAAAGGGAAGTCAGGAAACATTTTGACAACGACGTGCTTGAAATAAATAGTAAATGCAAATTGGAATTATTGTAGAGGATTATCTTCTTCTGGGATAGTAATTAGCCAAATGGAGTATGATTAGCAATAGAAAATAGTGATTAAAACTAATTAATCCAGTTACCGTGACGGTTGAATCGCAACCGTCAATTATATTCTTTTTATATCTCGACGCTTAGTTGTAGCGTTTGCTTACGTCATGGCGTAGGAATAAAAACAACCAACAACCAAAGTTTAATTTTAAAAAAGTAAATAAAAAGTGCAAGACACAATAAATAACAATGATTTCGTATTAATTCAATTACGTTATAAAATTAATTAATTGAATGATTGTTTTCTGTCTAAATCAGCGAGCCTCTGGATCTGATTAAGGGTCGAGTTATTAATTAAACTCCAAGTCCAACACGAACACAAAATAATAATAATAATAATTAAAAAAAAAAACTAGAATTCCTATAAATTTGGACTCACATTAAAAGCTAGACTCTTTCTCTGTTTTGAGGCTTTGAATCTCCACCCTTCCACGAACCCAAAACCGGTAAGCATTTCCCCAAAACCCTAATAATTATCAGTTTTGGGAAATGGGTTTCTGTTTTCGTTAATAAATTCGAAATCTTTTTTTGGATTTCATTCCTTTTTGTTCTATGTTGGATGATTGGTTTGATTTTGCTTTTGATTGGATCTGAGTTGAAAGTTTTTGGATTTTCCATTTCGGGATCTGGGATTGGTCGGTGATCTGTAAAAATGGAAAGTCATGGCATTTATTTTTGACCTAATGCTCTGTTTGGTTGCTGGGAAAAGGGTGGAAAATTGAGAAGTGAATTTGGAATCTTTTCAGTGGATTCTGTTGTGGGATTTACTTGTAATTTTCTCAGCACCCAAATGGGAATTTATGTTTTTGGGACATTTATTGTTAGGAATTTGATTTTGTGGATCTTTGGATTTTGTTGCAGGTTGGATCTTTAGCTCAACACTTGTCATTGTCCGTTTCTTTACGAATTTGGCGTTAAATTCGCCGTGGGGAGGTTTAGAATTTTCTGGTTCATAATAATTGTGTACTGAATTGTGTTGGGTTGTGATCTTAACTTTGTGTCTAAGTAAGGATCGCGATGGATTTACAGACTGATTTATGAGTCTGATGGCACGATCAGAAAGCGAAGAATTGCATATGTTGTTGTGGAAGAAGTGGAATTTATTGTTTCAATGCTTGTAGGAATTGCTCGGATTCACGGCAATATATATACAAGCTTGTATGTTATGGTAGGTTATGATTTTTGCTGTTCTTGGAGATTTAAGCTGAAGTGCTTCGCAATTTAGTGGGGGTTATTTTGGAATTCTAAAGTCAGGGTTTCACGATTTGGACATGAGAAGCTCCTGGTTCAGTAAACTCTCCCTCATTTTAGGCCCTAGACCGCCACTCAATTGGTTACTCTTGTGTGGTGTTATTGTACTCGCACTAATTGCAGTGCTGGGATCATCTTCTTCAAATACATTTGACTCTCTAACTCCCACTTCAGTACCCAACATATATACAAACTATAGGAGGCTAAAGGAGCAAGCGGCGGTTGATTATCTGGAGCTGCGGTCTCTCTCACTGGGGGCTAGTCGACAAAGAGAGCTTGGCCTTTGTGGCAAAGAAAGAGAAAATCATGTGCCTTGTTACAATGTTTCAGCAAACGTTTTAGCTGGGTTTAAAGATGGGGAGGAGTTTGATCGGCATTGTGAAGTATCAAGAAACAGAGAACGGTGTCTGGTTCGCCCTCCTAAGGATTATAAGATCCCCTTGAGGTGGCCAGCTGGTAGGGATGTGATATGGAGTGCAAACGTGAAGATAACCAAAGACCAATTTCTTTCATCTGGAAGCATGACCAAAAGGTGCTTCGCAGTTAAAGCTATATATTTGGCCGCTTTTAAATAGTGATGTCTCAA